AATAAAAACTGTTTGTTACTATAAAAAAATGCACTGGACTACAAGGAACTTTCATCAGAAGCAAAAATATACTTTTCTAAATCAAATTTTCGCGTTGTTTTCAAATCTGCAAGTAGACTATTTCTATCACTTCTAATTTTTTATATTATTACTAATTATATATATAAAATAATAATTAAAAGAAAAAAAAATTTGTTTTCAAATTATTACTGATTTGATTTTTAATATGTTAAAAATAATCAGTCCAAATTTTCAATTTTAACCTATTTTTTTGGTTCTTTAAAGTTGATGAAAAATTTTTGATAAAGATTTATGAAAGTTTATAGTAAAATAAATTGAATATATTACCATAACTTTTAGCTCAATTACAAGTTTAAAATTGACATCTAGGCCTGTCAACAAAGGAAAAATTGCGGAAAAAATTTTGTTTTTTTAAAAGTTGAATTAAAATATGTATAATGACATACTAATAGTCCTCAAGATTGGAATTGAGCTTTTTTTTTAAATCCTCGCAAAAGTTCAAAAATATGAGCTTTCTTAATTTTCTCAAAAAAAAATATTTAACTTACAAAAAAAAGTTTCGCACAAAAGTTGTTTAAAAGACAATTATAAATAAAAATATAATCTTATATTTTTTCATTTAAACAAATATTTTTCGAGTTACATTACATTTAATATGAGTAATAAAATTTATATTCCATTTTTTTCATTTTACGGTTACTTTTTATCATGTTATACTTACATTAGACACAATGTTATAAATGCATATGTGTGTATGTGTGAGTTTATTTATTTATTGTATCATTAAAGTGTAGTGTATATTGAGATACAACCGATAGAGTAGGTAATTGATTTGACGCTATATTATTTAAACCCAACTAAACGCTAAATTGTACATTCCGAAATAACAATCATATTATGTCAATTGCCACCGGAATATCTGGTAATATTTTTCTTTTTCTTTGCCTTAATCCCAACTACTTGGGGTCGGCCACCCTTATCCTAAGCTTCCACTTGACACGATCTCCCACATCTTCTACGCTCACATCAGCTGTCCTCAAATCGCATTCAATAGCATCCCTCCATCTCTTTTTTGGTCTTCCTCTATCTCTTCTTCCTTCAACATTCATTTCTATAACTATTCTTACAGCTTCCGATCCTTCTCTCCTCATAACATGACTAAACAATCTAAGTCTATTTTCTGTCATCTTATCCACGATTGACGCAACACCTATACTTCCTCTTATATGCTCGTTCCTTATCCTATCTTCTCTAGTCACTCCACTCATCCAACTAAGCATTCTCAACTCTGCTACACTTATTCTCTGCTCTACTTTCTTATCAACCGCCCAACACTATGAACCATACATCATATCTGGCCTCACAATTTCATACTAAAATTAAAAACTATAATTAGTATTTATTCATAAATTATATTTTAAAATCAAAGAACTACTAATCAGGATATAATTAAAGAAAAACAGTTGGTATTGCTTTTGGAATAATTTCACCAATTTCTCTAAAGGAAACACTATCTACAGATTTGCATCGAAGCGTTTCTTATGATAGTGATTTTAATCACTGTCAGATATCATCTATACTTATCCCATCTATGCCTCGTCCACACTGTGCCTCGACCCCACTGTGCTACCGTTTTTTTATTATATTAGATTGCTTAAAATGTGGAAGTGGTATTCCAGGTAATTATGTGAATTTGATATTTTATTATTGTGTTATATCGTAGCTTAAATTTATTTTGTTAAAAGAAAAATTATTTTAATCTTATGAAAATTATTATTTTTTGTATATATACCGAACACAAGCATTAATTAAGCTGAAGTTCAAAAAATTGTACAGAATTATTTATGAATATTACTTTAAATATATTTGTAATGTATTATATTATCACATAATTTGTAGCAATACTGATTTGTTATCAGTAACTATACATCATAGTAAAGTTCAGTTAGATTAAAAATATAATAGTTTAATTGTGATTTTCATTTTAATTTAAAAAGTATATAATGTAACACATGTCATAGCGTAGTCGATATAAAAACAAATAGTTTACATGGCTCATGGAATAGTTTGCAATGCACCTAATAAACTCAAACTTTAGGGTAACCTAAATGAAAGCTGGGAGCGATTTAAAAAGTCGTTTAAAATTTATTTACTAGCTATTGGGTTTGAAAAAGAGAATGATGAAAGAATGATAGCAACCACGCTGAACTTAATTAGTGTAGTTACACGGCCGCCGGGAATTGACGGTTGGTTATAGAAAGTGTACCGGAAATCATGTGAAAAAAAGAGGAACGGGATTAGAACCTGCGACCCAAGGCGTCGTATAGACAAACCTTACCACTAGGCAACCGTGCACTTATGATTCAGATCCCGATACACTTTCATTTAGGTTGATAACGTGATGTGCGGCTGAGGGAAACACGGTACCGTGTCAGTAGATACATTGGATGTTTATAATACTTTTAAAATTTTAAATTTAAAAACAAAGAAATATAAGGACGTGATATTTTATTCATACTGTAATTCAAAGTAAAATATATTATATATAAGATTTCTATTCTATAATAGATGGTCAAAAAAAAAAAGAGAATCATTTGATAATTTCTTAACAGAAATCAAAACTTTATATGAAGTCTGCGAGTTTACAGATAAAGAAGAACTTCTACGTGGTAAACTAATTCGGGGGGCCAATGTTTCTGATACTCATGAATGAGTAGAAAATTATAAAAATGAGAGTTTAACTTAAAAGAGGCTATAGAACATCTAAGATAAGCTGAAATTAGAAAAGTTCAAACTAAACAAATACTATCAGAAGGATAGACTGTTGTTGTAGATGCCATAATATACAAGAAAGAAAAACAATTTCAAAATAGTAACCAGTGTGTTATGCATCACCAGTAGAATATAATAAAGGGCAAATTGATAAAGAATTTTTAGCAATTTATTTGCATGTATTATATTTGATCAAATTATTTATGACCAGAGAACTAACGTATAAACTGATAATTTACCACTGATTTCACTAATAAAATATATCTATCAAATTTCATGTTAAAAGTTACAACGAATTATATTATAATTAGGTATATATTGAGGTAGTTCATGAATCAGGCAATAAAATGTTTATAGCAAATGCAATTAGAAAAGTATGTACAAAATAAAACAATGTTAGAGTAAATAATGTTTTTTATTGAATAAATATTAGCATAGAAATAAAAAATAAACTACAAGAGAAAACTAATACAGATTTTATGTTGCTGGAATTCAAAACTATGTTCATATAAGGATGGACAAAAACTAAAACAAAAGTACCTAAAAGTATTAATTTTTATTTTAATACAACAAGTGATATCTATGTTAAAGAAGAATTAGTATTCATCGAGAGTCACATAACGGTATCAAAATCAATGAGATAAATAATTCTGAATTAAAAACATGATTCACATATAGAAATAGTGAAGGTGAAGAGTGGAGCAAAAATGTTATTTTATTGGAACAATACGAATACTGAAATAGAAAATATAATAAGTGAATGTAATGTATGTGAAAAATACAGTTATAATAGAGGAATTCCCTGATTTTCATTTCCAAAAAATAAAATGTGATATATTTGATTATAAAAAACACTTATTTCTAATACTTAGAGGCTATTATTCAAAGTGGATTGAAATAATATAACCAAAAAATAGAAACTATATAAAACTCTGAAAATTTCAAAGAAATATTAAAAAATAATTTTGCAATACATGGTAAACTAAATGTTTTAAGAGCAGATAATATGCCGTTTAATGTAATCCAGATGAAAAATTTTAGTAAAGAGTGGAATTTCAAAATAAACGATTCTAGTCATTATTATCTAAGAAGCACTAGATTTGCATAAAAATCTATAGTAATAGCAAAACAAATTTAGAGAAAAGAAATGAGGTAAAAGTAGAATTACAAGCCATGCTGATGGAATATAAGAATTCGCAAATTTCAGGAATAAATATATCATGATATACCACCGACTCGAAAACACCTCAATGGTCGGGGTACCCAGTATTTTCGCCTAAGTGGACACGACTTGCTTTTACTTAAACAAACTATAGTTCACTGGTTTATATGCAACCTGGTTACTTCAATTTTTCGTAGACCAAGACCAGACACGCTTCTCCACACCATAAACTCGTGGATGGGCATCCAAATCCACCTTTGATATTGAAGTGACGATCACGAAACTCTAGGTTGTGGGCTCTCAAGTTGAGGCACTCACCGTCCGTCATAGGATCGTCCCAGCATAGGTGCCAAACACATACTCGCCGTACGCCACGACGCGCAACAATTTCGATCGCGTTTACCGGTTGTATACAAGTGGCGCTACAAATGATCGGCGGCCAAACATCCTCCCCCTTTGGGAGACGTCGGGATAAACAAAAAGAATGTCTCACAAATGGTACAGGTCCGACGAAGATTTCTCGGTTGCAATTGTAAACCAGACGTAACAGGTTGAAAAAAACAAATCGAACAAAAAAAACTAATAAAAAAAAACAATTTGGTATACACAATATAATTAACTGAAGTGCACTCACATATCAAGTGCCAATATACGTACATGAACAATATATAAAAAATAAATAAGAACAAAAAAAATATTTTAATAATATAGCGGTTGGTCAGCACATAATACAATTGTTACAATAATCTTACCAACCATTAACCGTAACAAAAAAAAAAACTGAATAATTTAATGGCTAGATAGTGGTTTCCCCGCACCAATGAGCTCACGTAGGCAACTTACCACTGGTAGCAGATAACATGGAAGCGTATAAGAATGGTTTTTTTCCTTTTTTTTTTTTTTTAGTAAAAAAAACTTAATAATTAGAAATAACGACTTCATTACAAAAAATATAAAAAATATGAAAATACAAAAAAATATAAAAAATAAATCAATAAGAATGTGACTCATACCGTTTTATAATACTAACATAAAAATGTATAATTTAAGGATGTATGGAATCATCAGGATCGGTGGGCAAAACTACTAATTTAACGACAGGCCGCACAAATGTGCCCTGGGCGGTTTGAACGCGCACTACACGTACAATTTTATCGGGTCCCGGCATTAATGCTGTTATTCTACCTAAACGCCACATCAATGGGGGACACGAATTATCTTTAATAATGACCATGGCGCCCACACGAACATTTGGTTGATCAGTTAACCATTTAGCTCTTTGTTGTAAAGTGGACAAGTATTCCGATGACCATCTATGCCAGAAAGCCTGGTGACAGTGGTCCAGCAACTTCCAGCGGTCAACTAGCGAACGGGGCGCGTCGAGTTCAGTACGCGGCGGAACAGCAAGTAACGGTTGTCCTATAAGAAAGTGCCCTGGTGTGAGGCAATCAAGATCCTGCGGATCAGTGGAACTGGGTACAAGCGGCCGGGAATTTAGAACGCTTTCTATTCGGCAAATGACGGTGGTGAATTCTTCATATGTAAACATATGAGCACCCATTACGCGTATTAATAATCGCTTTGCTGAGCGAACGGCGGACTCCCACAATCCGCCCATGTGTGCAGCCGAAGGCGCATTAAAATGCCACTCACACATGGGCGTCGCTGCCGCTATTTTAATTTGAGACGTTGCGCTATTTATAAGGTCACGTAGCTGTTTATCAGCCCCGATAAAATTTGATCCACAATCCGAAAAAACTTGGGCTGGTAGGCCCCTACGAGCGACGAACCGATCGAAGGCCGCTAAAAAGGCTTCAGTAGACAGTTCCGTCACGACTTCTAGATGTACCGCTTTAACGGTGAAACAAACAAAAATGGCTAAATATACCTTATAAGTACGTGATTTTCTCAACCTTATTTCGCGCATTTGAAGAGGCCCGGCGTAATCGATTCCGACGCGCCTAAATACTTGGCATTCTGTAACACGCGCAGACGGTAAGTCAGCCATCCGGGGTTGCGGATTTACAGCTGCGTAACGCACGCACGTTGTGCATCGACTAATAACTTTATGTACGACGGCCCGCGCACTCAAAATCCAAAATTGCCGTGTAGCTAGCGTAAGCATAACACGTGGGCCTGCATGACAGCTATATTCATGATACCATCTGAATATAAGTATGGCTAAATGAGACCGTTTAGCTAAAAGTATCGGATGTTTTTGCTCGTAAGGTAACAACGAATGGCGTAAACGTCCACCCACGCGGATTACCCCATAATCGTCCAAAAAAGGGCACAAACGTGCCATAGGTTTAGAAGATATACTGACTCCAGCTACAAGTTCATTTTTTAACGCGGCAAAAAAACATTGTTGCGAATCAATCACTATTGCTCGTAACGACGCGTCGATTTCCTCTTGAGTGATCGCGAGCGCTGGAGATGCATTGTGGCGACACTTATGTGCAAAACGCCTCATATACGATATGACGCGTAACATCCGATTATATGAAGAAAAACGAGTTGACCATTCGGTTGGAGGGTCCTGGGCGCGAACAGCTAATGAAATAATGCGGACTTCAGATGAATCGGATACATCCAATAACGACGGTCGCGACGGCCACCTATCTGGCGCTTCTAAAATAAACGGAGGGCCATGCCAGTATAACGTATAATCACATAATTTAGAGGGCAATACCCCGCGCGATACGCAGTCGGCCGGGTTGACGGTTGTGTTTACATAGGACCATGAGCACTCAGGTATTAAACATTGTACCTGGTGTACTCTATTTGACACATATGCCTTAAAAGTATCATGTGGTACACTTAGCCACGATAATACCACGAGCGAATCGGTCCAAGCATGAGTCGCGATAATATTTAAATCCGTAGACAAAATGGATTTAATTCGTCCTAACCAACGTGCTAAGAGTACTGCGGCATTTAACTCGAGACGGGGTATAGAAAGTGGTTTAATCGGAGCTAATTTAGTTTTCGCGCCGATAAGGAAAATAGACGATTCAGTTAATGGATTTTCGACGCGCAAATAAATAACGGCGGCGTAGCCACGCTGAGACGCGTCACAAAACCCAAGAAGCCGACACGACGAGTTTTTACACGCGCCGATATAACGCGCAATTTTAATGTGCGACAACAGCGGTAGCTCCGCAACAAAATTTGACCACTCCATACTAATATCGTCAGGTAATTTTTCGTCCCACCCTAGGGACAGTTGCCAGGTTCGTTGCATTATAGATTTTGCCAACATAATACAGGGAGACAGAAGGCCGAGTGGATCAAACAAGCGGGCTATTAACGATAAGACGCCTCGCTTAGTAGTAACAACTACCGATTCTATGCGGGGCACATAATAAAAATAATCACCGGCATCGTGCCACTGAAGTCCTAGAACCTTTGTTCCTCCCCCATCACTGTCATCGAATGACAACGACGTCGCAGCACGGTGTTCTACCGAAACAGCGTCTAGAACAGCAATACAATTGCTTGACCATTTCCTTAGCTCTAACGCTGATTTCCCTAGCACCGAAATTAACGCCTTCTGTAACGACAACGCGCCTTCTACAGTATCCGCTCCAGTACACACGTCGTCTATATACGTTTGATAGCGCAACGCGTGACGAACGGCAGGCTCGTCGATACAGTCGTTGTCGGCTATAAACTGTAGCACGCGCAGCGCCAGGTACGGCGAACTGTTGACACCGTAAGTCACCGTATTAAGTTCATATTCAACAAGTTCCTCAGTCGACGAAGAACGCCATAAAACGTGTTGAAATTTACGGTATTCAGGATTTATCAAAATTTGCCGATACATTTTGCAAATGTCGGCGGTAAAAGCATATTTGCGCAAACGGAAACGGCAAAGTACGTCAACAACTTCTTGTTGCAACTTCGGACCAGCATATAAGCAGTCGTTCAATGAGCTTCCGCCCCACGGTACAGCCGAACTGTCAAATACGACACGAATTTTACGAGGGTCGATTTCCGGCTTGTACACAGCATGGTGTGGTATAAAATACAATCCCGGGGAAGAGGCTACGGACATATGACCAAGTTTAATATAATCTGCCATAAATTCACAATAGAGTGCACGTAGTTTCGAATCAGTTTGTAACCGTTTCTCTAAATTTTCGAATCGCTTAAGGGCCAAATGACGAGATCCCGGAAAACTAAGTTTGTCTGGAGACAACGAACGAAATGGTAACGGTACAGAAAAACGGCCTGACGGGAGCCGTACGCATTGTTCACAGAAAATTTTCTCGCATTTTCCATCATTGGTAAAATCGATTGGGGCTGCGTCAGGTTCCTCCACCTGCCAAAACTTATCTAACATTGTCTCTAAAGAGGTTGTTAACGATACCACATTTAAACACGGCAGGGAGACAGTGGTGGGAGCGCCACCGATGAGCACCCATCCAAATATCGAACCGAATGCTGCGGGAAGATCGTTATGTACAACAATACGTTTGCCATTCAAAATTAATGAGTATAAATCAGCACCCAGCAGAAAATCGATCGAACCGGGCGTATCGAATGCCGGGTCGGCAAGTGCTAGATTGTTATAATTTTGCCTAACATGAGCTGTAATTACCTGCCGCGGTAGATTACTTGTAATTGACGGCAAAATCCATGCTTTGACCGTCAATACCGGTTCGTTAGAAAAACGTGGTTGCATCTGACATGTCATAAAACCTTGGGTGTCGGGAACCTGAATCCCAGAAAGACCCGTAACGGACTGAG